AGATTCACTTCCAGCAGGTTCCAGGGTGAGACTCTGAAGGCCATTGCTGCTGCTGCTGTGCTCACCCTGGGAGTATATTCTCTTCTGCCGGGCCTTCCTCCACCCTAGGAGTAGGTGCAGATCTAGTAGAAGAGACGATCTCTCCACATCAGAGCTCCAGTGGTGCTGTGACTGTTAGCAAGATATAAGAATCAGGGAGAAGTTGATATGCCCATGGGGTACTGGCCATGCTCTAGAGACCAGCTTCTCTCAAAACCGCCAACTCAGAGTATTTCTAAGCCCTTCTAGTGTCCCTGGAATCCAGGCCCAAGAACATGAGGCCCAGAGGGAAGAAGCATCCCATTTCCCTGGTCTGGGTGGGGGATAACCTTCCTAGACCTTCCCAGAATGACTGACAGACGGTAGCCCCATTCCCCTCGGGGGGAAATGCCCACTGCTACCTACAGGGACAACATAGTCCTGTCCTGACACCCTGATGCCACTTCTTTCAGTGCATTTGGCCTGTGTGCGCTGGAATCAGGTGGCTCACATGTGAAAGAAGCAAATTCCTGGGTTGCTCCCAGACCCATTAAATCAGAACATGGGAATGGGGCCTGGAGTCTGCTGACAAGAGACTGCCATACCAGTGCATTCCTTGGATCAGAAGCTTTGGTGTTCAGTATTTCTTATGGAGACATCAGTGGTGCAGTCTGGACTGAGCCTCACCTGCCAGGTTCCTCCCATGTGAGGAGGGGCAAACTCACCATTCTTGAGTCTGCTGGGTCTCAGCTCTTGACTTCCTCTAAACAGAACATCCACAGAACAGGGACACAAATGCTCACAAAGACCTGTGACCATGCAGGCAAAGTAGGCTCACATCTTCCTGGAGGCTCTTCCCCTCAGAAAACCTGATGTGGGGGATGAGCTCTGCCTACAGCTGGGCCACCTTGTACCTGATCACAGGAACAGTCAGGCTTTTTAGGTCGCAGCTTCTCAAGTGTCTTTATTTCATAGATCTGCAAAGAGTCTTTGCTTTTTCATTTGCATAACTAAAAGGTTGGGTCAAGTGGTTTCCTTAAAACAAGAGTAGTCTGCACACACTACAGCTGTGGACGGGAGAGCCAGGGGCCTTGTGGGAAAGGTGATGGTGGAATTCATGTGGAAAATGACTTTCCTTTGGGAGGCCGAGGCGGGCGGATCACAAGGTCAGGAGATCGAGACCACAGTGAAACCCCGTCTCTACTAAAAATACAAAAAATTAGCCGGGCGCGGTGGCGGGCGCCTGTAGTCCCAGCTGCTACTCAGGAGGCTGAGGCAGGAGAATGGCGTGAACCCAGGAGGCGGAGCTTGCAGTGAGCCGAGATCGCGCCACTGCACTCCAGCCTGGGCAACAGCGTGAGACTCCATCTCAAAAAAAAAAAAAAAAAAAAAAAAAAAAAAAAAAAAAAAAGAAAATGACTTTCAGACCAAAGGTATAAACTGGAGTGTCCCATGCAAGGGGTGTCCCATGCTCCTTGATCAGGAGCAGGTGATCATCATAGTAATGGGCCACAAATGTGGTTGTTCTGCTTTTTCAGTTGGCACCATTTTTTTTTAATTGAGCCACCATACTGGGTGTGGTGGCTTGTGCCTGTAATCGCAGCACTTTGGGAGGCTGAGGCAGGAGGATTGCTTGAGCCCAGGAATTCGAGACCAGCCTGGGTGACATAGAAGCCATCTCTACCAAAAAATAAGAAAAAATATCCTGGAATGGTGGCATGCACCTGTAGACCCAGCTATTCGGAAGGCTGAGGCAGGAGGATTGCTTGAGCCCAGGAGTTTGAGACTGCCGTGAGCTGTGACTATGCTACTCACTCCAGCCTGGGCAATAGAGCAAGGCCTTGTCAAAAAAAAAAAAAAAAAAAAAAAAAAAAAAGATCAAGCCACCAAAATAAAAAGTTAACACGAGAAAAAAAATGATAAATCTTGACATATTATTGGGCTGTTTTAAAAATGCCTTTCAGTAAAATTTTACTGTTGGCTAAAAAGAAAAATTGAACAACATTTCAAAACCAAAAGTTTCTAATAAAAATCCAGATTTCCAGCTTTTCTGGAACAATTCAGAAGATTGATACCCTGCACAGCAGCATCACTAGAGCTGAGCTGCCGCCACCGCTGTTAGCCTAGCTGCCTGCTCCCCACGTCCCTGGCACTCACTACGCTGTCCAGCCTATTGTTGTCTTACACCAGTGTGGTGCCCTCAGTCTGCTGCTGCCTGACTCTGGAGGCCTCGTGTGTGTGCTCTGATTTGCACGGGGCAGAAGTGCAGTACCCCATCCTATGAGTGGGCACATCCACTCACAGCTGCCACTAGAGCGCCTGATTACACCACTGTCTCACAGGAAGCTCCCTTCCACCAGCCTTTTCAATGTTCAGACAGTATGGGAAGAATAGTTCTCCATGCCTTATGTCCGAGACCTGGGCTAGCATTTTCTTGTCTTTTACCTGGATTTGGCCAACTGTTGTGTTTTTAGTGGAAATCTTACACCTCCAGGGCGTTTGTCGGTTGTCACCAGTTGAGATGTTCTCTTTCTCTAACTGTAATGCTTGCAGGGCTGGGGATGAAGGTCTGAAGCGGGGAACCAGAGTAACAAATCCCAGTGTGGTTTTGTTCAGGACATGTGTCCAGTCCTCCCTCAGCACCATGTGTTCAGTCCTCCCTTCGTCTCCACACCACTGAGACGTCCCAGCAACCTACCTGGGGAGCTGATTTTTCACACAGTTCCCTTACATATGGCCCTCTTGCAAGGATTATCAGGTTTTTTTGTTTGTTTGTGTTTTGAGACAGGGTCGCACTGTCACCCAGGCTGGAGTGCAGTGGTGTGATTGTAGCTCACTGAAGTCCTGAACTCTTGGGTTCAAGCCATTCTCCCACCTCAGCCTCCCAAGTAACTGGGACTATAGGAGCATGCCACTGTGCTCAGCTAATTTTTTACTTTTTGTAGAGATGAGGTCTCACTATGTTGCCCAGGCTGGTCTGGAACTCCTGGCCTCAAGCAAATGTCCTATCTTGGCCTCCCAAAACACTGGGATTACAGGTGTGAGCCACAGCCTCCAGCCAATCGTCAGATTTTAAGGGCAATTCTACCAAGGGAGCAGATATAGCCAATAAGGCCCCAGGCAGGAACCCAGGAAGGCCCCTTGAAAATCTGTTCTTTTTAAATTTTAGAAGTAAATGGAAAAAGTTTAGAGATTCCAAATTTCATTTAAAGACAGTTTAGGGCCAGGCTCGGTGTGGCTCATGCCACGCTCATGCTGGGCTTGGTGGCAAGTGCCTGTAACCCCAGCTATTCAGGAGGCTGAGGCAGGAGGACCGTTTGAACCCAGGAGGCAGAGGTTGCAGTGAACCATGGTCACGCCACTGCACTCCAGCCTCGGTGACAGAGCAAGACTCTGTCTCAAAAACAAAAACAAATAATTAAGACACAGCTATGCTTCTAACTTTATTCTAAAAGACACTTTCTTTACATGTTAATAATAATGACATTGACTTGGCATCTTATAAAACTTAAAATGTGATTTAATCAGTGGTATTTTAAAAGCATGAAGGCACCCGAATGTCTAGCACGTTGAAGCACAGGGCACTTTTGCCTTTGATGGGGAGCAAGCTGTGTCTCCTGCTTCTGGGACGGGAGGTGCGTGCTCAAGAGAGAGGGAGGCGAAGGAGGAGGATGACAGTACATTCTTCGGACATTTCCAAAGAGAAAGTTCTTCTTAATCAGTGACAGAGGAGGATAAGGCCACATAGACAGGTGGCTTCTATGTCAAAATCTTTATTTTCTGAGACACGGTCTCACTTTGTCACCCAGGCTGGAGTGCAATGGTGTGATCTAGGCTCACTGCAGCCTCTAGCTCCTGGGCTCAGGTGATCCTCCTGCCTCAGCCCCTCGGGTAGCTGGGACTACAGACGCATGCCACCAAGCCTGGCTAATTTTTGTATTTTTTGTAGAGATGAGGCTTCACCATGTTGGCCAGGCTGGTCTCGAACTCCTGTGTTCAAGCAAATCCACCCACCTTGGATTCCCAAAGTGCTGGGATTATAGGCAAAAGCCACAGTGTCCGGCCTTGATTTTATTTTAAGTTTTTGTTTGAAAAGTACCCCTAACACACACTTACATACGAAGTAAAAATCAATTCCACCACTAAAAACATTAACAATACAGAATACGAAGTAAAAATCAATTCCACCACTAAAAACATTAACAATACAGAAGGCAGAATAACCCTATAATCTCCTCCCTCTACCTCACCTGTCCCCCACACTCCCCAATCCCACGGCTCAGAGGAAACCTCAGTGATTTTTCCCAGCAATGCTGATTCAGGCATCATTTGCCTCTAATCCGAACTGAAACACAGGGCTCTGGGCACAGGCATCTCCCAGAAGCTTCTCCGGTTTTTCTTAGAATCCGTGTACTAACTCGCCTTACCTGCCCTTCAGCTCTGGTCATGAAGCGAAAAAGGGCAGGTCCTCTTCGCTTGTGGTGCTACCCTGAAGGCACAAATACAACCTGGGGTGTTGAGGGGGATGCTGGAGGAGGGCATGGGGCTGCCGAGGGAAGCCCTTGGTACCAGTTTAATGCTGGGGTTGCAGGGCTAGAGGAGACAGGATTCCACAGCCTTTGGAGATGAAGTTCCCACTCCAAATGCAGACAGGGGAAGCTAGCAATTTCAGTTCTCAGCATTGAAAAAGTTTTGGCCATGAAAGTAGAAATCACTGCTCAAGGGAGAGATTTCCTGATTCAAGACAAAATGCTCAGACAATCAACAAATCACGTGGGAAGAGGCTCTATGTAAAATGTTACGTTTAAGAAAAGATTCAACATACCTGCCCATGTACCCCCTGTATCTAAAAGTTGAAAAAATTTTAAAAACTTACAAAATTGTGCACAAATCTCAAATGGATGAAGTCGATTTCTACATGTCTATCTCTTTATGAATATTTAGACATAAATAGAAGAAACCCAAAATGAAATATATAAAAATGTTACTAAAGTTATACTTTATTTTTACCTGTATTTTTCCATTTTTCTTTAATGAGAATGGATTTCTCTTGTAGCAAAATGTTATATTGAAACAAAGATTGAATGCTACATCTATAGTAACTTAAACTGGTCTTTGACAAAAAGGGACTAAATCTAGGGTTACAAAAGATATGTGAAAACCGGCACCAGATACTGGGAGGAAGAATCTTTTTTGAGCCCCAGTTTCTCAGTAAGGAGATGCTTAAATAGTTCCATAGAGTTCTAAGTGATTCACAATCCCTGAATCAACGCTGACAAGTGAAGCTTGGGCTGGGGTTTTAAAAATTATATCCCCTACTTTGTCCTGTGTGAGAAAGAACATGTGAAAGCAGTTTTATGGTCCCCGGTGGCCTTTGAAGTTCTGGGGTGCAGGAGGGTTTGAGGTTGCCTGGGGCAATGGTTAGGACTGCTCTCAGAGGGGGCAAGGCTGCAGCTCTCTGAGCGATCCTGAAGGCCCTGCTCCTTCAGCACAGGTGCCCTGGGTCCAGAGTCTTCTGTTAGGGAATCTGATTTTCTCTCATAGGTGTGAGGCCTTCTTACCATGACCTCCCATTTGACGTCTTTCGATCAGTATCTGCATTTCTCCCTCTCCGTTACTGTATAGTTAAGAATGTATATCACACATTGGTGCGTAAGACTAGAAAGTAAAAATATCATTTTGACAAGACTGATTTTCACACTGAACATAGCGAAAACCCTCTTTAACTCTGTGGGGCGGTGTTCTACTCCAGAGGGACCAGGGAACCATCTCACATTCTGCCAAGGACTCTTTCGTGCCCTCCTTAGACAATCTTAATGCAAAAGAAGGCAGGTCATTTTCTTGTTTTAGATGAGAGTAACTGAAGATTTGATTTCAGCTAATTTTATATCAGCAATTTAAAATATTTATTCCCTCAGGAGTCGAAATAAATCTGTAGGAATAACAAAGTTTCCAAATATTAACATTTGCTTTTGGTTCAGACTTTCAAAAGCCTTTATTCCCACCCTTCCCCCAACCTCTCTTTAATTTTACCTGTTCTGAGCAATTTGAGTACTAAACAATGGAATCTCAGATGCTTCTGGCAACTATGTGTTATTAGTCAGGAATGGCACCTTGTTATTTGATTGCATTTTATTGTTTCCTTCAGCTCAATGTGTACCTGATATTGGAGGGCTCTCCCTATGGGTTGGGATTGAGAGATGTTACAAATGATGTGGTTTTTATTATTTCTGTGAGCTCCTGTGCAGCCGGGTGAGATTCCTGAGGCTGTGTAAGCTGGAGATCAGGCCCGAGTTGCCCTGCCTGACTAGTAGAGCCCAATGTCCACACTGCAGCACAGCCACTTCTCCCTGTATCATAGAATGGCTGGGGCAGCTGCTGTTCTATCAACTTGAGATGCCTGTTCCACGAGGAGATCAGTAGGAGTTCAGCACCGCTATCCTGGCCTTTTCACACAGTGGGTCTAGTTTACCATCGCCTCCTAGGGAAATAGATATAATTGTCTTTTGGTCAGCTTTATATACAATTTGTTATCATATCAGACATACCTATGGCTTCCACTCAGAGTGCATTTTCAAAGGCCACGGGCTGGTAAAATGTTAACTAGTTTTTAATAGAGTGTTAGTGGATTGCAAAGCTTTAACTTCTGAGCACAGAGAGGCATGCACGGTGCCAGCCTGCCAGGCCAGAAGCTCTCCAGGACAAAGACATCACATGAATGTTGCTGATAGTGTCATGCACTGCTGGCATATCAACTCAAATTATCTTAGCAAGTCAGGATGGAATAAACAAGTGAAACAAAAGCAGCTTCAAAAGCAAATAATAATAGAATGTATATTATTAAAGTACAAAAAAAACTGTTATCCCTTAATTCCATCACATCCCTTGAAGTCCAGGGCTTCACTTCATTTTCCTTCCTCTGCTGTTTCCAATGTTTGGGAAGACTCAAACCATCACACACTTTACTGTGTGGTTTTGGATGTTCTCCTGTGTGTGCCACTGAAAGCACAGGGCTTTCAGTAGAAGTTTCAGCCTCAGAAAGAAACCCAATTTGAATTCAGGCATGACATACTGATCATTTCAACTAGAAATTGAGGGACTCCTCAGAGGAGGCAAAATCCTGGCTGGAAATATCGCCAAAGGGCTTACCGAACTCCAAGTCCTTAATGTTGCAGTGGAAGACGACTTCTTCATTCACCATGAGTTCCACCACATTCCAGTCTTCTATCTTCTCTAGGATTACCTCGTGTCCATCTCTGGCCAACACAGCTGGGAAGGACAGAAAAGGAGGTGAGTGACATGGGATCAGACTTCAAACTAACCTGATTGGTAGCAGTCTTCATGATGACAGTAGTTTGTCTGTCATCTAGCTGCTCATGGGTATCACTTAACTGCCCTGGTAGGCACTTTCTGGGTGCTGGTCCCAGGTGCCCTCACCTTTGCTGGGAAGCACAGCCAGAGGCCTGAGTAATTCAGGTTTCAATTGCTATTTGTCCCACACCAAAGTGATCTGTTAAACAATGAGCTTTCTCTAGTAAAGGGCTATTGGGCTTTCCAGAGGCTCAATCTCATAGAGACCACACTCAGTGCTGGAGAAGACTCGGGGGAACAGGCAACTTCTTATCCTGCTGATGGAAGTACACATTGAGCACGTTTTGGAGGGCAATCTGGCAGTACCTACCAAAAGCCTCAAAAAATGATTCTAACCTTTAGTCCAGGAAATTACACTTAAAAGAAAGCTTCCCAAAGAAAAAAATAAAACAATACAGGCAGATTTTTGCAACAAGATGTCTTTTCTCTATTATTATGATAGCAAAATACTGTGAATAACTTATATATCCAATAATGAGAGGATGGCCAAATAAATGGTGGAACGTCCATTTGGACATTTATAAAAATGTTTATGATCTTTTTTAATGGCAAGAAAAATACTTGCAATATAAGCAAAAACTTAGGATACAAATATGTATAATACATGTTTAAAATATATAGTCAATATGAATTCAAATATGTATGTAAGGATGAAGAAAATACCCATTGAATATCTGTCTGTGGTGAGATTATGGGAAATTTTTTTCTCTTTATTCTTTCAGCATTTTCCAGATTGCCTATAATAATCCGAAAAAAAAGTTTTTTAGAAAAGCTAATGAAGTAACTTTTATTCTTACCTTTGGAATCTGCATTTTGGTTATCACTTACATTCAATGGCTCCTTCCCCAGAGATCAGTCATGGAATAATTGTTGGATTTAATCTTTTTATTGTGGAAATGCAAAGGTGTGTGGCTTAGATGAAATGATGTACATTAGACAGCCTACAGCTCTATTTTTTCCAATGTATTTCTCTCCAGTTTCCTGGATATATTTATCCTATAACATCAATATTAGAGTGAGTGTGCCGATCATTACCTTTGTTGGTCTTCATATGTTGGTGAGAATTTTGGTTAGGATGGAAAGAGAAAACAGACGGGGGCATACTCTTTAAAGTCTTGCCATTTCAATCAGTTTTACACGGAGTAAAGCAAACAGTTATGTCAGCTAATTGCACTTAATTACAGAGACAATTGCTGTTTCAAAATGTTGGTGTGTCCACTTCTTCATCTTTCAATCAGTTCAAGAACATCCAGCCCCAACTGTGAACATTTTAATTCTGCAATTTTAATTTCACTTCTGGAAAGGAACTTCAGAAAAAGACTCAGCAAGGATCTCCATTAACAAGACAGCACTCCCTGGGTACCCAGAGGTGGCCCTAATTGACCCGCATCAGCTAATGCGTCTCTAAAAAATGGTTGCATCTTTTTCGTTGGCATATTTATTGTATCCTGTTTAAGTGTTTTGTTCTCAAACGTCTTTGAAGAAGACACTCAGCTTGGACCCATGACTTGTTTAAATGAAGTGGTCCAGCTCGTGTGGAAAGGCAGCTGATCATCCAGGGAGACATAAAGGCAGTCCATGTGCAGAGATTTCTGGGATCCCACGTTCCCTCAGCAGCAACCCCTCAGGACGGGGGAGCTGCATTTGTCTGACGACAAACTTCAATTTGACAGGAAGAAATCAGGAGCAAAACAGCTTCTCCATTCCCACCTTACACCAGCCCTCCACCCCCACCTGTGAGGCAAGGTGCTGCCACTCTGCAGGTAAAATCCAGTGCCAACTCTCTAAGGCCTGGAGAAGTGAGGGTGCATGGACTGTGAGCGAGGAGCAGCCCTATGGGAGGAGGCCCCAGGAGGCAAGCACGCTGTAACCTGCCCCTGGCCCTCCTGCAGGGCCTGCTGACTGAGCCTCATGTGACATCTGAGCTTGGAGTTCGTTTTAAGAGGACAGTGGCACTTACACGGCATGGTGTAGCTCAGAAACAGTATTTGATCCACCGAATCACTCACCCTATAGAGTTGAGGGGTGCTGAATAGTGGGGGTCCACCTCATCTTCGGGCAAATTAAGTCCAACAGGAAGAAACCCTCTTAAGAGACACACCACTCATCACTCTGCCCTCTACAGGGGCGCAAAGTACAGGCTCTCATGGTCTTAAAGGGCACGTGTCTTCCTCACTGACCAGAATTCTCTCCAAGTGCCTGGTTTTAATACAGGCTCACTGAAGAAGCAAACATAGAATGGCCCTGGGCACTGCCCATGACACTTTTTGACCCACAGAGTGACCTAAGTCTGATTCTTGCTAAAGTGACAAGCTGCCTCAGAGTCTACATTGAATATTCAGCCCCAGGACACTCCCTTCCCATCACTCTGGGAGGTGTTGAGCTGGCTCTAAGGTGGCCAGTGCAGGCTTAAGGGATCAAACACTAGACACCCCGGAATTCCTGCAGCTCATCCAAATGCCACCTCTCTAAATGGAGCACCCATTTCCTCCCATGAGCTGCTGTGGGGTTGTCTAGTCAAAGAAAGGTCAGATAAATATACTCCCTGAAACAAAGCCTGTGCAAAGGCAGTGGGTAAACTCCAGCATAAATCAACCAGAAGCTATAAGGCCACCTGCAGCCCGCCTGCCTCTTTGAAGTGGCACCTCATTCTTCAAGGGGGATCTAAATAAACGAAAGGGACATGGAAAAGGCTCCCTTCTTGCCGGTGCTGGTGGAATTGCGCACCATCTGCGAATGATTTAAATGCCACTGGTCAGGAAGTAAAGGTAAACAGACCTCTCTCCCTCCTCTACTCAGCACAGAGGCATACTCACGCCCACGAGCGAGGGCCGCTGATGCATAGCTAGCACAGGAGAATGGCACACAGGGTGTCTCAGCTACGTAGGGTGGATTCTATTTTCTGGATTGGTTTCAATTCCTTCCAAGCCCTTTGAGTGGGTCATTTGGCAAACTTAAGTACAGCATGCAAGGGGCAAGCGTGGCCAGGGAAATTACTTAGAACTTTTTGTTAAGCATTAGTTTAGCTTCACCAGCATTGAGGTCATAGTGGAAACATTTTGCTGAGTTATTATAATTCATGGATAATAAAGAGAGAACAAAAATTTTCAGATTGCTAAAGGCATGGTAAGTTCAGAAAAGATCAGGCCTATTTCTAAAGCCAGCAGGGCTTCGGGAAATGATAAAGAGCTGTAATTTTAAAAGAAACACAGAATTCAGATGCAGATTTTACAGAGGAGGGCCTGCAAAGGTACCACTCTCTGCCTGCTGGGTCTACAGTTGTGGGGGGTGCAGATGCTCCCTGCTTCGCTGCGGTGAACACCCTGGCCCTTGTTGGCTGCCGGTATTCCATGACTTATCATTCATCGATATACAGAACTGACTTTACAAATCAACCACCTACTGATACCTTGCAACCCTCAAGTCTCCTTCAGCCATAAAAATGCTTCTCTTGCTCTTCTCCAAATACTCTTCCCCTCCCCTACTGTGGGAAGTGCCGCCTGCGCCTGCTGCCTTCCTTTTTGCTGTGTTTCTACCCGCCCACCTCCTGGAGGGAAGCCTTCAGCTCACCAGGTCCACAGCCTGCCCTCTGAGAGGTCAGGAAACCATCGCAATTCAATGGCTTCCCAGAGCTCCCCACCCGTCTCGGACCCACCTCCTTTCTTGGTTCTTTAAAGTCCTTTTGATGGTAAAAACAAATATGTTTTTTGAACTCTAAATTTAAAAAATCAAGTTATCAATGTAATGCAGATTCATAGTATTTTAAAAAAAACTTTAAAATTATAGAAAAGGACAAAATTTTAAAAATCACCCCTAATTCTTCTCTCCCTCTGTCTTTTTCAGTGGCAGGAAGACCATGGCATTCAAGACCACGCTTTGTTCCCTTCGCACTGCATCGTGTGGCCCAGTCCTGTCACACACATGGAGCGGCTGCGTTCTTCTTCAGTGCTGTGTAGCATTTTACATGATGTATGCACTACAATTTATTTAGTCATTCCTTTTTCTGGTTGTTTCCAATTTTTTGCTATCACTGAGAATGTTGTAGAAAAATTCACAGCATGCATCCTTGTGTGTGCGTGAGGTTTGTTTTTTCTTTTATAAGGAAGATACTGAGAAATGGAACAGCTGGATTCTACAGTATATGATCACATTTTAACAACACTGACAAGTTGTCCTCTAGGATGACAGTTCAATTTACTCTCCTGCTGAGGGCAAATTAGGAAAATACTCTTTTTCTCAGTCTTTAATCAGCCATGAATTCTTCTCTCCCTAGAAATCACCTCTGCTCAATAGTTTGGAGCCCACTGGTCATTTTCTTCTCGAAATGCCATCACCTGCTCCCTTATGCCTCCAGTTCTCTCCTCAGTCTGCGCCTGCTCCTCCACAGGCTGCTCCTCTTAACACACCTTGCCCTCAGGGGGGCTGTCTCGTCGTCCTGCCAACTCCAGTCCCGTCTGTCTTTCCTTGCTTCCTCTGCAGTCTCGCCTCCTGTGGTTCTAGCATTCGGCTTTATGCAGGTTGATTTTCTTAACTAAGGTTTATTCTTACAATATGCCAGGCACAGCTCTGGGCTGGGACCCAGCAGAGAACAGAACCAGACAAGAACCCCTGCCCCTTCCCTCCTCAAAGCATGCCTCCAGGTGGGGGAGAAGGGTAACAAGGTATACAGGTGAGTGCGTGCTGAGGTAGGTAATCACGAGCACGAAGAAGAAATAAGGAGGGAAGGGAGAGCAGGAAGAGGGAGGCAGAGGGAAGTGTTGACGTTTTTGGTGGGATGTCCAAGGAAGGCCTGCCCATGAAAGTGACTTTTGAGGAATATCTTGAGACTGAGAGAATGAAGCTGAAAACCACGTGGGAAAGAGCATTCCAGGCAGAGTGGCTGTGAAGCCCCAAGGTGG